TTCTCTTAAAACAGACAAAGGTTTCTTTGGGAAATCTTAGATTCAGTTGGAGAAAGAAAATGTATAAAGTGATCTTGAAAATTTTTATACCAGACACCATAACTATGAGGTCCATGAAAAAGGTGCTTCGGAGCCAATTCCGAAATCTTCTTGGTGACCACTTATTTCATTTTAGCTCCAAAGTCATAGATCATGAAAATGAGAAAATCTCTTAGTTTTAGGCAGAATGGTACAGTTGCTTGCTCTTTGCTGTTTCAACTAGCTCAAATTGTTCCATTTGGGCATCAATAAGGATTAATGTTATAGTGAATTGATAGCACTTCTTGATATTTATGTACCTACAGTTACACACACTAAAATAATAAAATCTTAAAAAAGAAACACTGCCTTTTGAAACTGATAAACCAAAAATATAAAATATACTTATTTCTAGGCACCTCACCCTAACAAATAATAGAGGAGACAGAAATTTTATGTGTGAACAAATAAAGATGAAACAGTAGAATTGGAGTGATTTTATAATCAGTTTTAGTGGATTTTGATACTTAATATCCAAGAGAGAAAATCATACCTACATTATGGATATACCACCACCTAACGATCTTGCCTACGTCCTCCTGTAGGTTTCTGCCTGTTATGTGGGTGCTGGGATCTGAACTCCTGTCCTTGTGATTGTGCAGCAGGTACTCTTAACTGCTGAGCAATCTTCCAGACCTTTGCCAAAAATGCAGAATCTGGAACTGATGAAGTCACTTGCATCCAACCATTTTATAAGAAATTTGGAAGGCAGAAGAACTTGTTAATGTGCACTATGAAGATGTTGTCACCACACTGCGGTTGTGGGATGTCTTGTAGACAGGTGATCCAATGTGTACCATCGATTTCCAACCAGAGCTACATAGTGAGATCCTGTCTCCATTAAATTAAACGAGCAAACAGACAAACAAATAAATAAATAGATATGCCAAACATTTGGTTTCTAGATGGAAATTATTATTTCTTATTCATCATATGGTTACTGTGAAAAGAAGTTAAACAAACATGTTAACTGCCTGCGTGTCTTGACTATGTATGTTTTTAAACAGTATGTTTGTATGCATGTGCTATATGAGTGTCTGAGTGTGGCTGGGATGGCTGTAATATGTTCTGTGTTTACCTATTAAAGAATGTTTATACCTGGACATTTAGTGATGTTGTGTTTCTGGAGTTTTTAATTATTTTTTGTGTGTATATGTATGTGTATATGTATGTATGTGAACATGAGGATAGAGGTGTCTAGTGTCTTCCTTGATCCCTTTTCCCTTATGTTTTTGAGATAGGGTCTTACTGAACCTGGATCTCACTTCTTTAGTAAGAGCCAGCAATCCCTAGGAATCCTGTCTCCACTCCCACAGTGTGCGGGTTACAGATGTATGCTAAAACCTGGGTTTTATGAGTTGATGGTGATGAGGGATCCAAATTCACACCTTTAAGCTTGTACAACAAGAACTTAACAATTGTGTTATCTTTCCCAGACCTTGGAGTTATTAATTTTTAAATTTTTATTTATTTTTAATGGATTTTATATCTATCTCAGTCCAGCTTATCTCCTCATCCCTTCTCATCTACCCTCTGCCCTTGCAATCTCCCCCACAAGATAAAACAAAGTAAAATTTAAAAGAAAAGGAAAAGAAAAAATCTTTCTTGTATGGAAGCTGTCGTTTGACACAGTGAATCACACAGTATACCCTTTAGTCCATGCATCTTACATGCATGTGTTCACTGCAGTGAGTCATTGGTCTGGTTCGAGGCCTCTGGTGTCTACTATCAATATTGGACCCTCACTGAGACTCCTTAGATATCCTGTTGTTGTCCTGTGTCATGGAGACCCTGCAGCTTAGGGTCTGCAGGACTAGCCTTTTCACATGCTCCAGCAGATCATAGATGGGGTGGATGTTGGGATGGGACAACTCCTAGGCCTGGCTCTCAGACTGGGTAGTTTCTGTGTTGGTCAACACCAGGGTGCACTCTCCAGCATTGCTTCGGCTAATTCACCCTGTGCAGTAAGCAGCAAGGGGGTAGGCTGGTTCTCCTGCTCTCATGCCCTCAGGGCCAGGTCACCTACACCACTGGGCCCAGCTCTACTGTGGTGCCCAGATGCAGGGATCACTGTGCAGGGATGCAGCTGGTGAGGGGCAGGGCCAGCTCTCTTGCTCTTGTGACCTCAGGGACAGCTCTCCCATGTACCATAGGTGTTGAGTAGTGGTGGATGGTTTCTCTCTCTCGCCCACACCACCATATGGCAGATGAGGGCCCATGCCAGATCTGCTCACGTTTTCAGGCTAGCTCATCCTCCTCCCGTTACTAGGATCAGCTCTGCTGTGCTGCCCAGGCAAGGTGCAGGGCCCACTCTCCCAAGTGCTGCAGCCAGCAAGGGGCAGGGTAAGCTCTCTCCTGCTGTAGGTGGCAAGGGGCAAGGAGGGGAGGGCATCTTTCCCTCAACCTTGCTATCACATGGCAGATGAGGGGTGCAGAGTCAGCTCCCCCACTCATAGAACCTCAGGGTAGGCTCACTTGCATCCCTACCAGTAAGGTCAGCTCTACTTTGGTGCTCAGGCTAGGTGCAGGGCCTACTGTCCCAAGTGTTGCAGCAGGCAAGGGGCAGAGCCAGGGGTTCTACTCTCCCACCTGCTGCACGGAATATGGGAGGCACCTCTCCCTTCTCCATGGGGTGCATGACAGAGTGTTGGAGGAGGCCGCTTGTTTTGTTTCCGCTGCTCGGCAGCTCAGACCCAAAATAGCCACACAGAAAACTATATTAATTAAATCACTGCTTGGCCCATTAGCTCTAGCCTCTTATTGGCTAACTCTTACGTATTAATTTAACCCATTTCTGTTAATCTGTGTATCGCCACGAGGCTGTGGCTTACCGGAAAAAGTTCCAGCGTCTGTCTCTGGTAGGGCTGCATGACCTCTCTCTGTCTCTGCCTTCTTTCTCGCAGCATTCAGCTTAGTTTTCCCCGCCTATAGCTGTTCCCCCTATAGCTTTGCTATAGTCCCAGAGCAGTTCCTTTATTAACCAGTGGTATTCACAGCATACAGAGAGAATCCTACATCAACAGAGGAGTAGTGGGGCCAAGTTCTCAGGGCTGACTCACCAGTGTCCCTGCCATCAGGGTCACATTTACTGTTCTGCCCAGATGAAGTTCAGGGCCTGCTCTCATGATTGCTGCAGTGAGATGCCAGACCAGATCCCTGGTTCTCATGATCTCAGGACCAGCTTTCCCTAGTTCTGAAGTTGGTGAGGCTGGATCAGCTCTCCCTCCCGCTGCAGGTGACTAAGGGCAAGGTGGGGAGGGTGTCTTTCTCTTGAGCACGCCACCACATCTACTACATGGAGACAAGGATAGGGGTGGAAGCAGGTTCTCCCACTCTCACGCCCTCGCAGCCAGCTTGCTCCCCTGCCAACAGGATTAACTCTGTTGCGCTACCCAGGTGAGGTTCAGGATCCACTCTCTTGAGTGCTGCATCAGGTGAAGGGCAAGGCCAGTTCTCCCTAATGTTCTGGCCAGTGAGGGGTCAGGGCCAACTTGTGTAGCCCTATCCTCTTGGCTTTTGGAGGTAACAGGAGCCACAGACATCGACACAGACCACTGCTGCGGTGGGGTCATGGGCGCATCATGGCCCTAGGTGACAAATAGGCTACCCATCTCAATTCACTCTTCACATCTTTGGAATATGCCTCTCTCCACAGGACATGAGCGCCTCTCTCTCTCTCTCTCTCTCTCTCTCTCTCTCTCTCTTTCTCTTTTTCTCTTCCTCCCTCTCTCTTTTCCACACCCCACTCTATATTTGCTTACCATAAATAGCCTGATGGGTTGTGGATGTTTGTCTCCTGCTCAGTCTTCATTGGCACTGGGCAGACTCCTGTTGTCTCCCTAGCCTGGGGCTGAGAGAGCCCTGGGTGGGCATTGAGTTTTAAATTCTTTTTTTTTCTTTTTTTTGGTTTTTCGAGACAGGGTTTCTCTGTGGTTTTGGAGCCTGTCCTGGAACTAGCTCTTGTAGACCAGGCTGGTCTCGAACTCACAGAGATCCGCCTGCCTCTGCCTCCCAAGTGCTGGGATTAAAGGCATGCGCCACCACCGCCTGGCTTGAGTTTTTAATTCTTATTGCTACCTTTTAGGGTTTTCCTCAGTACAAATTCTTGCTTTTCAAGTAGCTTTGGGCCTATTTGAGGAGCAGCATACATCACCTGTTTCACTGTGGAGGCAGAGTTGACCTTGGTTTGCTCTTTAATCTCACTCTGGAGGCAGTGGCTCTGCACCCAGTTTCCCCATCAGAGTGTGCACACTTTTAAATCTCTCTCTTTTTTTAAAACTCAGTTACATTTGGAAAAGAAAAAGAACTAGGAAGTGACAGAAAAGTTAGTAATAGTTTTTTGAGTTTTGTCTTCCTGATTTTCTTTTTTACAATTTATTGACAGGATTGTCCTTTACGGACTAGTGAAGTTGAGGGTTTTAAAGACTAGTCCCCAGACATTGAGAAAAGAGAAACTAGAGTGGAGGTAGCAGTAGGCAGCCCAACACAACACTTTGCCATCAGCTTTAAGCAAGCAGAACTGGTGCATGGTTACCACTCCTACAGATTCTGACTTAATTGCATGGAAATGTGATCTTAGCATCACAACTTTTCGCACCTTTCCATTTGCATTAATGTGAAGTCAAACAGCAATCGGCCTAGAATAGGGCTGAAGAAAAATCTTTAACTCCATAGTGTTTTAATTTAAAATTTGCTCTATTTGGGATAAGTTGGGAGTTTTTGTAAAGGTTAAATATGGGATTGTGGATGTTCTTTTTAAAGATATGTGGTTATTTAGGGTGTTCAGTGTGAAACAAAAGGATGAATAATTTTTTTTCACATCTGAGGAATGGAAAGCTTCACAGATTAACTGACCATAACCACAATGGTATGGAAACTGTATGGAGCTACTGTACTTTCTTACTACTGTGTTACTTGAACAGGTTGCCTGTGACTTGCTTCGGAGAATAATTCGCATCTTGTTTCTCAGTAAGAGACTCCAGGGACAACTGCAAGGAGGAAGTAGAGAGATAACCAAAGCTGCTCAGAGTCTCGATGAACTTGGTAAGTCCTTTCATGATTAAAAATTCGTAGAAGTTTGACAGTTTTAACTCAGTTGATTTGTTGACATTTGTTTTTACTATTAATAAATATTACTAAAATTAAAAAAATGACTGTTTATAGCATTGTTATAAGCAATGTTTCTGTTCAGAAAGGGTGAATAAAATTAGATTTCTTGAAAGTGTTTACTTTAATATTGATCATATAATAATATTGACTTTTTTCACAAACTGTTGTGTACACTTTAACATAAATATTTGAGTAACTGCAATCACAGTCATGATACAAAACACTTTTATCCCTCTTGAAAATGCGCCCATCATTGCTTGATGATCAGTAATATCCCTGCCCTCTAACCTGACAGCCATCTTAATTTTCTATCATTATACCTTTATCTATTAATAATCACACATAAATGGAGTCGTAAAGTCCATAACTTTTTGAGGCTGGCTTCTTGTACCTACCTTTTAATACCTTTGAGATTTATTCAGATTATTGGGTATACTAGCAGTTTGTTAGAATACATTCTGTGTTGTCATGGGGATTGCTTTTTGAGTGACTGATCGGAGGAGAATTTGAGTCCTTAGCTTTTGGTGATTATGAATAGAGCGGCTGTAAACACTTGTGTGTAGGTTTTGTTGTGATTTCTATGGGGTAAATATCCAGGAGGAATGCTTTTCTTAGGGATTTGAAATAGGCCCTTGACATTCAAGATTTAGAATTGATGGTTTTGCTGGCTAAGAAGCTTCAGGTTCCATAATCTTGAAAGTTTGAATAGCTAGTGAGTGCACACAGAAAAGGCCAACACCTGGGTTTTGATGAGACTTTGTGGGTTTCTGGTTTTCATTGGGTACCCAGTAATTTTTTTGAAGTGAAAATATTTGGTGGTATTTATTCTTTTATAGATCCAGAAGACCTTTGATATTATATATGTCTTAAATTTTGACAGTTTGCTTACTCTTGGTGGCATGGTTATGCCAAAGTAACACTGGAAAAGTGTATTTGACATGTTCTTTTTGAGTTTTTCTGTTTTTGGTATTTCTGTTGCAAAGTCTTGCTCTAATGCAGTTCTCAACTTGTGGGTTGTGACCCTGCTGGGGTCACATATCAGATATCCTTCATATTAGATTATGATTTGATGCACGTATATAATTGTAATAGTAACTGAAAAATACTACTTTTATTAAAACATTAATTCCAGTGTATTATGACAATTTATTATCCTCCTCACTTCTCTTTACTTAGTTATAATGGTAAAACTGATCAAAATTAAACATTTTTTGAAAAGATTTTGCAAATATTAAATCACACATGAGTCACATAAGCTGTAATTTTTTTAAAATTTCTTTTCATTTTATGTGCATTTGTCAGTGTTTCTGCTGTGTGTTATGTATACACAGATACCCAAAGAAGCCAAAAGAGGATGTTAGATCTCCTAGAACCAGAGGCACAGAAAGTTGTGAGCTATTAGATGTGGGTGCTGGGAACCAAACCCAGGTCCCCTCAAGAACAACAAGCAATCTTAACCTCTGCACCATTATTCCAGGCCCAGAGATTTAAATTTTTAATACATCTGCATTGGGATAAGTCAATCATGAACTGTATTTTTTCAGTGACTTTTATATTTAATAGTTATAAAATACTTTGAGTAAAGCCAGTGCATTAGAGAAGTGATTGAAAGAACACACAACTATTTGTATTACCTTATCTATTGGTTACAGAAGATAATAATCATAATAAAATAGTTGCCATTTTTAAATATGATGGACTGTCATTGAGGATAAATGTATATACTAAAACTTGAAATAAAACCGGACTCTCTGAACATGGCGAACAATGAGGGATGATGAGAAGCCAAAGACAATGGCACGGGGTTTTGATCCTACTTCATGTTCGGGCTTTGTGGGAGCCTAGCCAGTTTGGATGTTCACCTTCCTAGATATGGACGGAGGGGGGAGGACCTTGGACTTTCCACAGGGCAGGGAACCCTGACTGCTCTTTGGATTGGAGAGGGAGGGGGAGAGGAGTGGGGGGAGGGGGAGAAGGGTGGGAGGAGGGGGAGGGAAATGGGAGGATGGGAGGAGGGGGAAACTTTTTTTTTCTTTTCTCAATAAAAAAAAAGAAATTAAAAAAAATAAATAAAAAAAATAAAAACCAGAAAAAAAAGAAATAATTTTTATCTGTGTTCAATGAGTACTATATATAAATTTTGCTGCCTAAAAAAGTAAGAATTATTAATCAAAGCTAATAGCTGATACTAGAACTTTTACACCCCTATTTAAGAATACACTATGAAAACAACACTTGCTACTCTGGCCAAGAAAATTGATCAATGCCTTCCTCAGCCATTGTCAGAGATGCATCAAATCACACCTCAGTGATGAGAACATTTCTACAGTTATTACTGTCTTTGTGGCACAGTGGGTTCACTCCTTGGTGAGACAGAGCCAGCGATCACAAATAAGACAAAAGAATGAAGTTTGTTACCTGCAACAAGTAAGGATAGCACGGGGGCTGACCCAGAGCAGGGTCTCCCAGTACACAGGGACAAGAAGACTTGAAAACTCACAACTATTCATATTGGAAGGACTTGGCATCATATATAGGGGTTGGCACATTCCTGAGAGTATTTATTTCAAGATTATGCTTCATACATTGCATGTTCAGAAGTGGAGGATAAGAAGGATTCCGGGACAGATAATTTGGCATTATGAGATTATACTGAACAAAGTTGTGTAGTTTTTGAGGACAGCCAGCTGTGACCTATTTCCCGAATTGTACCCCACCTTCTGCTAGTTTATTCATGATAACCCATTGATGATGATAGACAGTTCTGTGGTGACCAGTCACCTCTCAGTAGCACCATCAATTGGAAATCAGTTCTTCCAACACATGAGCCTTTTCAAGGACACTCCCATCTGAAGCACAGCTGTATGGTACTAGGTTACAGTCTGCAAAACTAAGTTATTTGCATGCTGTGAAATAAATGCTAGTTTTTGGACTGAAAGTGGTATGATTTTTTTCTCTGTGCAGGTGAAATGGACACATAGACTATAATAAACACTTGTTTGCAATTTGAGTGAAATCAGTTCAAGCTGCTGTTGGTTAGATGTTTGAAGAAAACCATGTGCCTGGTGCTAACATCTTCATATCGCTCTGATTGCTTTACCTGGAGTATGCAGGAAAGGGTTTGTTTGGGTCATGTAGAATCTTTTCTCAGGTAGCTGCTAATCTTTTGAGCCAAAGTTTGTAGTTTTTACACTTCCTATTGGTGACTATTGTTATTTTGTCTACCCAAAATTAGGTTTCTGTCAGCAGTCAAAATTACATAGAATTTTAAAGTTATATTCTAGACAAGGATAGAAATTTTGAATGTTTCCTAATTTTCAATCATACATTTTATCTTGATTGTTAGAATGATTTACTACTGATACCACTTGCCAAAACAAATGTGTTTTATTTATTATATTCCACACTTAAACAGGTTATTGTGATAAATTACACAATATCTGTTTTCTTAGCTGAAATCCAATTTCTCTTTATTTAAACAATTTATTGTATCTTCGGATACAGAAATCTACTACTGTATCTTCAATTTTTTTAAAAAATAACTTTTTTTTTTTAAGATAAGGTTTCTCTATGTAGCCTTGGGTGTCCTGGAACTCACTTTGTAGACCAGACTGGTCTCAAACTCACCTATATCTCCTGCCTCTGCCTCCTGAGTGCTGGGATTAAAGGTGTATGTCACCACTGCCCAGCCAAAAACCTACTTTTTTATCTTCAATATTTTTTAGTTTTTGAAAATAATGTATCTCTGGATTGATTACTATAGCTTACAAAGGTGTATTTGTAGGTAGCAGTGAATTTTATTTTTATTTGCTCTATTATTGACTTTTCCTACTTGAAGAAATTTTTCTTTGTTAAAAACAAGTCAGACCATACTTTTATGTATACTTCTGGTCTGTTTATGAAAATTGTGATTTGTAATTCACATACTTATCAAATGATTATTTCAACATAAATAAGCTTGTTATAACTCAATATAAATTTAGTGAATAGATGCAGGTTTTGTGTTTGAGAGGTTCAAGGTCTGCCACTATCTCTATATTAGAATCATAAGTCTGACACAGTGATGATGATGTGGTTTCCAGGAGAAAAACTTTTCTCTCTGCTTTTTGAACTCATCTTTACTTCCCATGAATCAGTAAGAAAAAATTTGTCCTTTTATTTCTATAAAACTTAGGTAAATTTGTTAATATCTTCTATAAATATTTTTGAATGCCTGCCTCTACTGCACATGCCTTGTGCTATTTTAAAGATTAATGACATGTCCCAAAACAAAACACAAAGTCCCCTTTCTTTTTATAGCTGTATTCTAATGGGTTCTAAAGTTGCACATATAGTGTTCCTGGAAAATTCTGACTCCAAAGTCTGTGCTCTTAAACCGCCAATGCGTCCCTTAAAGTCCTTGGCAGCATTGATTGATTTACCAAAAATATCGCTGTAATTGTTAGGTCTCCAAATTCTCCTTTCTTTAAAATGCATGAAAAAAATCATGATTTTATTCTACAACCTAAGATTATATGGAATATAAAACTGAATCTAAGTGAGGACCCATTAGGTGAAAATGAGAGAATGGCTTTTGATTGAAATATGACTACCTGATATTTCAAACCAAATATAAGATATTAATATGCATTGTTTATAATATACCATGTTTAAGCAACAAATGCATTTTATGAATGTGGCAGTTAATGACTTAACGGCCTATCTTAATGGTTTGTTGAGTTATTTTAAGATCATTTAAAAAGTATAATTAGCTGGGCATGGTGGTGCACACCTTTAAACTCAGCACTTGGTTAACAACTGGAGAATCTCTTTGAGATCCACACCAACCTCGTCTACATAGTTAGTTCCAAGTCAGGATGACATAGACCCCATCTCAATAAACTCTCTGTCTCTGTCTCTGTCTCTCTCTCTCTCTCTCACACACACGTGCGTGT